AAAAGAAACTTCAGACTTTAAACCCTGTGGGATTTACTATTTAAGGTTTTTTTTTTTAATTAAGTAATTATACTAAAAGAAAAATTAGGTTACTCAGGTATATGTCATACTGAGATGAGATGGTACTGACAGTACTGAACACAACAGTATAAGATTTTTTTTTTTAACTATAAAATTCTAAAGTGACTCAGGAAAATATTGTTCCTCAGATATAATTTTAAATGAAATTCTTGCTATAAAATATGTTGAAAGTAGAGGATATAGCTCAGTGGTAAAACATTGGCCTAACATGTGCCAGACTCTGGGTTCAATCCTCAGTACCCTAAAATAACGACAACAAAAAAACAGACAAAGATGTATGAAGTAAACTAGTTAAAATAGGAGTCCAAAATTAAAATAGAGAGCAATTTCTAATCCTTTTAAAATGGAAAGTAATTATGTAAGTAAGTTCTTTAAGATCTATTGCATAAGATTTTGTGAATGAAAAAGAAAAGAATTAGGATTGTTGATGCACACCTGTATTAGCACTGGGGAGGTGAAAACAGGAAGATCATGTTTGAAGCCAGTCTGGGCTATATAATATCTAGTCTTTTGTTGCCTCCTCCTTCTCTTTTTTTTCTTTTTGTACTGGGGATCCAACTCACAACCTTACCCTTACCAGGCAAGCACCTGAGCCATTGAGCTAAATCCCTGGCCAGCATTGTTTTGTGTCTGTTTTGAGATAAGGTTTCTTTCTTTCACTGTGCAGTTCAGGCTGACCTTGAACTCACTATGTAGCCCAGACTGGCTTGTACTCAGGTATCCTCCTGCCTCAGCCTTCCAAGTGCATCACAACCGGCCAGTACCTTGTTTTAAAAGAAGAAAAATAAAGGAAAAATAGTTAAAACAGCCTTGTTCGTTTGTTGTAAGTGGGTGCCACTGTGACTAAAATTATTATTACTGGTGGTGGTTCCACACTCACTCACTATATTCTCAACAGCCTCCCCCCACTGGTTTTTGTTTTAATTTCTTGAGGTGCAGGGTCTTCCTGTCTTGAAGTTGCCCAGGTTGGACTAGAATTTGAAATCCTCCTGTTTCATTCAGGTTCGGAGAGAGTATTTGGGTTATGGGCACATGCCACCATGCTCAGCTGTAATTGAAACTTTTTTTTTTGTTTTGTTTTGTTTTGTTTTTGTTTTTATCGGTACCAGGGATCGAACTCATGACCTCACACTTGCAAGGCAGGCACTTATGCCGCTGAGCTAAATCCCCAGCCCCAACTGAAACATTTCTTTATCTATACATAGGGAACAATTGTTTAGATGTTAAATGTAAAGCTTATGTGTTTTTGTTTTTTTTTGTTTGTTTGTTTTGTTTTTGAGACAGGGTCTCTGTGCAGTTCAGGCTGGCCTTGAGCTCACTTTGTAGCCTACATTGGTCTTGAACTCACCACCATCCTCCTGCCTCAGCCTCCTGAGTGCTGGGATTACAGTTGTGAGCTGCCAGGTTATGTTTTTACAACCACTTAAATGTTTATAACGAAGTAAGTTTAAATTCCATGTTATTTGAAGTTACCTATAAAATGTTTTAAACGCATGTACTTGTTAGTAATTTGATTATCATATTACACCAAACTGCATTCTTATTTAGTGCATGCTCTATCACTGACTCCCATACCCCCAAACTTTGTAACATGAAGTAAATTTTTTTTTTTTTTTTTTTTTTTTTTTTTTTTTTTTGAGACAGTTTTGCTATGCATTTCAGGGTGGCCTTGAGCTCACTTTGTAGCTCAGGCTGGCTTTGAACTCTTAAAGTGATCCTCCTGCCTCAACTTCCTGAGTGCTGGGGTTATAGGCATGCTCTACCATGCCTGGCACATGAAATGAAATTATACATAATGTGGATAGAATGTTTGAGTTTATGGATAAATTGGTGTTCTTATTGTTTGTTTGAGACAGACCTGGCTATCTAGTCCAGGCTACTCTGGGACTTTTTTAATCCTTTTGCTTCCACCTCCCAAGTGCTAGGATTACAGACATGGTCACCACCATACCTGGCTGAGTAAATTATATTTTGACATTGTGTATTTATTTTTTTATTATATTATTATTGTTTGTTTTATTATATTATTATTGTTTGTTTGAGATAGGATCTCTCTACAGAGTCCAACCTGGTCTTTTATCTGTGTAGTCCACACTGGTCCCGAATTTGAGGCAATCCTGCCTCAGCTTCCCAGCTGCTGGGATTGCAGACATTGCATTTTTAGATGAGTTCTTTCAAATGGGTTATTTTCAAAATTGAATAAATTTCTCTTGCAGTTTACTATGAAAAGACAGTTACAAGAGTAAACATGTTTGTTTATTTCATTTAATGATACTGGGGATTGAACTTGGGGTGTTGTGCATGCTAGGCAAGCGCTCTACCACTGAGCTACATACATCCCCAGCCCAGGAAAACACTTTAAAAAGCAAATCTTTTGTAAATATTTAGTAGTGTAGTGTCTTGGTATTGGCTCATATCTGCCTTCCATTCCCAGGTACTTTGTGAGACTGAAGCAAGAGTGTCACCAGTTTGAGGTCAGGCTAGGCTTGTAGAAAGATCTGTGTTCAATGGTGGAACTCTCTGGGTTCAATCCACCAGTACTGAAATGGATAATAAATAAATTTAGGTGCAACATTGATCAGCGGAGAATTTTCTAAATAGTGCTATAATGTCTGATTTTTCCAATTTCTTTTTTCTAATAAAAATATTTATTAGTTTGGTTTTTTTAATAGAAAATCCAAGTTGGTTTCTTTTCAGTAATGCTACTGTAATGTCCTTGTCGAAACTTAGTATATCTTAAAAATATTAGAGTCTCATGAAATTAAACTTTGCAGGGGTTTACATTGTCTTGCCACTTTCCTAAGTTTTTCTGACATCCATTTTCTGTTTTGTCTTAAAATTATCATCTCTTACCTTCTCTTAACTTTTCCAGATCCACTATTTTCATATAAGGCGCCAAAAATAAAATTGATCTTTATAATTTAATCATATTACCTTAGAATCATGATAGTTTTTTAATATATTATCAGAATAACCATTATTTTTCTGAGGGAAGTTATTTCAGAAGACTGGCTTTTCAGAAATAAAATGCTTTGACTATAACATGAAGATCAAAGCTGCAATTAAACCTATTTTTTTTTAAAAAAGAAATTATCTTGAACGTCCCTGTAAGCATACTGATTTGATTTTTTTTTTTTTTTTTTTTGGGTACTGGGGATTGAATTTAAGACCTTGTCTTGCCAAGCAGATACTTATGCCATTGAGCTAAATCCCCAGTCCAGCATACTGATTTTTAAAAATAAAAGTACACATGAAAATTTAGAGCCCTATCAATACCCAGTGGACATGGTATCTCAATTGGTGTTCTGTTTGACATTTAAAGACATTGCAAAGAAATTTTCATCTAAAATTCATTCACTTTTGTCTTTAATCTTACCTTTTCATTAGTTTACATTGTGGCTCTTGTCCAGAACTAGTTTCTTTGGTGTCTTTTCTCAAACCCATCTTTCTTAGTGTACAAGAACATCTGTTGCTCAGCCAACTTTGATAGCATTTCTGTGTCTTTATTACATCTGTTTTTAAAAAATCTGATCTAAGTCTTTCTTGCCTGTAACTTTATTTTATAACTCCTCTGCCACTGTAATTTGTCAAGTATATCTTTGCTGTGATCTGTCATTTCCCATAATAGACTTGTAAACTATTGATGATGCCTAGTTTTTTTGTGTAATAAACTTTAAAATATTTAAGTTCTGGTACTTAAGTGTATAGCTGAACAAACAAAGCCTAATAAGCAGTTAATAGAATTCTATAGCAAATGGCATCAGATTTACCTCTATATGTATGTGGTTAAACATTTGTTGTGTACATCTTTAAAGTAATATTATATGAGAATCGTGTGTAAATGGTTTATGAATTCTTCGACAGTTTTTGAGATAATACAGTGAGTTAAGAAAGAATGAAAAAAATCTCATCTAGGTATGCATCTTGAAGGCTAATCAGAATTAAAAATTTTCAGATGATTGGGCTATTCTTGTGGAAAGTTGGCAGAAATCTGAAATCAAGAATTCACTTTTAATTTTTACGTATTTTGAGCTCTAGAGGTGCTGTAATACTAGTGTTAAATGAATGCTGATAGTTGCAAAGTTGGGGTGTTTCCCTTTAAATCACACCTTGCATTTTCTATATTGGGTTTTTTTTTTTTTTTTTTTTTTTTTTTTTTTTTTTTTCTTAGAAGGTTTTCTGTTTGTATGCTGGCCAAGTTGGTTCTCCTTACATTGTCTAAGAATAGATATGAAATAAGAACTACCTGATGTAGATCAGTTAAAAGAAATCAGTCATGGCTTAAATTTGTGCTGAAATCCTTAAACCTGTAGGAAATTACTTACTCTTTATCACATCTGTCTTCACCTCAAATTGATTTTACTGTATGAAGGTCTCAACTATTATTTGGTCTTAGATCTTATATTAGGTACTTGAGCCCCTAAACTTCGTTTACTTGTGATTTTACTTGGTCCTTTCTGATAGTGATAGTAGGTCTCGTTTTCTAAAGCAGAATACAACTGATTCATCTTTGACTTGCTGACCTTGTTTTTTATTACTGGTTTTTTTTTTTTTTTTTAAAGTCTTCTCCTGGAACTTAAGCATCATGCTATAGGTTGTATTTTTGTTCTTCTACAGAAGAAACCCATCTGTGTTTTCACTAAAATTTTGATGTACTCAGACATCTATTCCTTCAGTTTAAATGTTTTTAAGCTCAGTATAAATTCCCTTTAATAGTTGAATTTTAGCATGAAAAAACACTTTTTAAATATATGCAGGCTCTGCATACATCTGGAATCTGTTTAAGATACGTATTAAATTTCTTGTAAGTTTGAGATCTTAAATGGTTTTTTAATCAACATGATGCGTAAGTTTTTTTTTCTTAAAAAACGGCATCTACTTAAAGGGATTTATGACTAAAACTGCTTATTTTTCTACAGAGTTGTCTGCTGGTTCTCAGCTTGAAGAAGATTCTACAGTCCTTATTGATCCTTTTCTTGGCGTTACCATTTTTGAAGCAAAGTTAACCTAGCTTTCTAGTTTGAGCTTTCTTTTTGGCCATCTTTTAAAAATTTTTTTTCAAAAAAATCTATAAAATAGACAAGTGATAGTGCTACGATGTCCAAGTCATTCCAGCAGTCATCTCTCGGTAGGGACTCACAGGGTCATGGGCGTGACCTGTCTGCAGCAGGAATAGGCCTTCTTGCTGCTGCTACCCAGTCTTTAAGTATGCCAGCATCTCTTGGAAGGATGAACCAGGGTACTGCACGCCTTGCTAGTTTAATGAATCTTGGAATGAGTTCTTCATTGAATCAACAAGGAGCTCATAGTGCACTGTCTTCTGCTAGTACTTCTTCCCATAATTTGCAGTCTATATTTAACATTGGAAGTAGAGGTCCACTCCCTTTGTCTTCTCAACACCGTGGAGATGCAGACCAGGCCAGTAACATTTTGGCCAGCTTTGGTCTGTCTGCTAGAGACTTAGATGAACTGAGTCGTTATCCAGAGGACAAGATTACTCCTGAGAATTTGCCCCAAATCCTTCTGCAGCTTAAGAGGAGGAGAACTGAAGAAGGCCCTACATTGAGTTATGGTAGAGATGGCAGATCTGCTACACGAGAGCCACCATACAGAGTACCTAGGGATGATTGGGAAGAAAAAAGGCACTTTAGAAGAGATAGTTTTGATGATCGTGGTCCTAGTCTCAACCCAGTGCTTGATTATGACCATGGAAGTCGTTCTCAAGAATCTGGTTATTATGACAGAATGGATTATGAAGATGACAGATTAAGAGATGGAGAAAGGTGTAGGGATGACTCTTTTTTTGGTGAGACCTCGCATAACTATCATAAATTTGACAGTGAGTATGAGAGAATGGGACGTGGTCCTGGTCCCTTACAAGAGAGATCTCTCTTTGAGAAAAAGAGGGGCGCTCCTCCAAGTAGCAATATTGAAGACTTCCATGGACTCTTACCGAAGGGTTATCCCCATCTGTGCTCTATATGTGATTTGCCAGTTCATTCTAATAAGGTGAGTTAATGCAACAGATGCTTCTAATTTCTTTTACATTTTAGTGCCTATTCTGTATTTACCTATATCTTTTGCTCTGATTCTGTAGTCTGATTACACTGAGTTGATCAAGAATTTTTATACTTTTGAGAACACTTTATTTGGAAAGGTAATTGTTTTTGAGCATTTTAAACCAGGGCTTTACATTAATGCAATCTGCCTAGATTACTTCTAGCCACAAAGCTATCATCCATTGGGATTATCTTGTTGGTTTTTGGCATCAATATGTTCTTCTTAATCAATATTTAAGCAGGTTTTTTGGTCTGCTTTGTTGAATTGTTTTAAGTATTTTTTCTACAGTCAATGTACTCTGCCATTTAGGATACTAGATTTCAGCTCTCCATCTGTCTTGATTGCTGATTTGTATGTAGTAAAGATGTATTCTTGAACAATTCTCTTTTTTTCTTTATCCGTGGCTACAGGGAAAGAGTTAATGTAGAGCCCTGGTGTTTGTTTCAGTATGTTTCATATTTTAGATTAGTTCATTCTTCCTTTTTTAATTTCCCTTTAACACAGACTCTCATACAACTGAAATTTTTCATCATTTTTTTTCTCCTTTTCCACAACTTTCTTAAACATACTTCAGAACTCACTTTTTATTATTATCCCATATTGCATCTGTCCCTTTAGAGACTTGGATAAATCAGCTACTACGGTATCCTGCTCTGTGTTCCTCATAAACAAATCTTTTTCTGACTTAGGCTTACTAGACTTCTGGTATAGTCATTTGGAAAAAAAAAATCTAATTCTCCTTTTCCTTAATTATACATCTGGCAAAATGGGAACTTTTTCAAAATGCCCTTTTAAATATGTTGTCCTTTCTCTTTCAACTTTTTCAGCATTACTTGTTCTCAGTGGGTGTTTTTTTCAAACTATATTGTAGTTGACTTAAAAGTCAGCATTAAAACACCCCACTAACTTGTTCTATAATCTGTGACCATCCATTTTTCCCGATGTGCTATAGTTATCGACTTAACTAGAATAAGTTGCTGCCATGAAACTGATTTGATGGTTACTGTTACGGGGTTTTTCTTTACAGTAACATCTCTAAGGGTCATTTTCTTTTCATATCTTATTACTTTGAAATGCATTTTTTAGTATTGATTTTTGAGTAAAGAGTTACCAGTCACTCCCTTCCCTATGTTTGGATCTCAGCATTTTTGTCTTTTAGTCGTCTTTAATCCATGTCAAGATACATTAGCTGAAATGCTAAATTTAGGTTCATAGATTTGTTTTTAATTGAAGACCTAGAATTGCAAACTGAGAAGTCAGCAAATTTTTATTTGGTATGTAGTCTTACTGTTCTTTTCTAAATTATTGGATATAGTAAACATATCATGGAATTTGTTCCTGCTCTGTACTAAACTTCAAGGTTTAGATCTAGTGTGAGTTAATGTAATGAAAAGGCTCATTACATTTTGATGATTTTAATTTTTCTGTGTTACTTCTTCCTCATTTAAAGAAACATCAGAAATGGTTCTATAGACTAATATTTTCAGTAAGGATCTCTAAATTTTTGTTTGAGATCTCTAAATTTTAAGGAAATTAATGTCTCAGAGTGATGTTAAGGATCCTGAAATCTTTGCTACTGGAGCTGTAAAACCTGTTGAGATATCATAAAGAAACAGAAGAATCTTGAGAGGGTTTATCAGATAAAAATTTCTGTTCTTAGCCAGGTGTGGTGGCGCACACTTGTAATCCCAGCATGAGGGAGGCTAAGGCAGGAGGTCTCAAGTTTGGAGTCTAGCCCAGACTACATAGTGAGACCTTGTCTCCAAAAAAAGTTTGTTTTTATGTATAACGATTTTATCTAAAGTTTGCTACTTTCTAGATTTTAAAGGAAGCTAATAATTTAAATGGGACCAAATTAACAAAAATATAGTTAAAATATTTGATGAAACTTTAGATTCAAAAGTAACCGTAGTGCAAGAGGTTAGTCTGTAAAAACATGCTTAGGTTATACCAAGCCAGTTTGTGTTATTTTGCTAAAATACTGAGTGTATTTAGGAACTATTGTAGAACTTTTTTAAAAAATTATTTGATATACAAAATCTGTATTTGTAAATTGGACCAATTTGTGGCTTCTCTTAAATGTTGTCTTAATTTAGCTAATGTTTTTCTATGTTTGTGCATCGTTGAAAAAACTATACACTTTAGCAGTAGACGCTTGATTTTATAACATACAGAAATCTTGTGATGGAAATAATGAATGAAAAATTTTAAACATCTAATCCTGCTCTCTGGTATTGCTGCATAACTTGGAAAATCTGTTACTTTCATTTAGTGATATTGTTTAATAGCCTACACGATCAAAACTTACATTCTTAATATGGAATAAATTGAGGTGAAAAGCATCTAATGATTATCATGGAGAGTCCGTTTTATATATATATATTTTTGGGTGAGTGATATCCTTGCTGTTATTTCTTTCTAGGTTAAGAACATCAATTTCCTACACAATCTTAAATTTCCTCCGAGTTCCTTTCACTTAAAGTTGCCCACTACACCCCTTCTGTCTGCTGTCTTTTCACTTACATTCATATTTCCATTTTAATACTTATAAAAGCCCTTAAATTATTCTTTATTCTGCCATTCTGGAAGTGCTTCCCAGATTATTATTTACATAATTTAAGATACCTTGGAAACAAAATGATCATTTTCCTACAGAAACATCTGAGTTTAAAAAGGGAATCCTTAATAATCTCAATCAAGTAAGAGTTACTTCAGTGTAGCATATGAGGATACAAGAGTTTTTTTTAAAAACGATTGCGTGACTTTTACTCTTCATCTTAAAGAAACAAATAAACAAAAAAACCCAGTAAGAGATCAAATACATTATTGCAAGTTAATATTCAGTGGGCTTCCAAGGTACACAATTGATTTACTGATCTTGACCTTTTCAGCACTTTGAAAGACCAACTACATTTTTTACTATAAGTTTGAACCTTTAAAAAACATGAGGAATATAATTTCTTCTCTGGTATGTACCTTTTCCAACTCCTGTGCATTAGATGCATTCCTAATAAAATAACTACTTATTCTCCTAAAACATTGTTTGTTAAGGATATTTTCCATGAAATCTGAAGATTTTAGGTTCAAAAATGTTAATTTGTCTTCTGAATTTTGGCTAGGCCTTCTCTTGCTGATACTGTAGACATTTAAAAGTGGGTTCCACAAGTAATTGGTCTGTTGCTTTGCGAGGAAACTATATGTTCCAAATATTTGATTGTAGAGCCAGCTAGAGTTCCCACTAATTATTCTTAAAGGAACCTAGTTTTGAGAGACAGGACTGAATAGTAGTTGATAGTTATGTGCAAAGTACCATTTTATGTGTTGTGGGGAGTGTTTACAAACTTAGTTCTTTTGTAAGGTTTTAGTTTATTCTGTTACCGTTTAGAAATGTATGTAAAAGTTGTAATTAATGTAAATTATTTTTTAAAATTAGGATCCCATTTATAAAACACCATTCTAAAACTTAATATATCTTGGTTAAACTGAAACCTCCCAGCCCCTCTAGGACAATTGCCTGATCATATTCCACTTATAATTGTATTAGGTATAATAAGTATTGCAGCAAGTATCTCAATTTATGGAAATTTGTGACTCAGTGATGTAAAAACAAGTTGTAAAATAATACAGATAGTTTTTTTTTTTTTTTTCCTGGAGCACTTCTTACGTGCCTGGTAATGTTCTGATAAGTAGTTTACCTTTATTCACTTGTTTTCACAACTCTTTTAGAACATTTTCACATTAATTTAAATTGACTTGGACCAAGGAGTCACATCAGGAATAGAACCGCGCGAGTTGATAGCACAGCCCATTTTGCTGCTTTGTTGGCTAAAAGTTAAGTATATAAGGATTTTCTTTTTGCCTAAAGAAAGGAAAATATTTGAATAAAATATGAAGTTCAGTTAATTCCTCCAAACTTAAACCACAAAAGAACAAATGTTGACAAAATGTAATGTTTCCTGCCTTTAAAGTTTGGAAACTGCCATTTCTTAAATACGTTCCTGAGTGTCAGGGAAGAATAGCAGCTTAATTCTTTGCTAAATGAGAATATTTCTAGACAAGCCAATTCTTGTTAAATCACGTTTTTTATGACAGTGCAAATTATGGTCTGACTCACAAACTTAGTAGGTAGTATACTACCTACTGTGCCTTAAAGGCTGGATGAAGTTAAAGATTTTATTTAGCTTCCTGCCTATCCATTTCTTTTTGGTCTTTTTTTTTTTTTTTTTTTTTTTTTAAACTTTTTATCGGTACCAGGGATCAAACTCACGACTGCCTGCTTGCAAGGCAGGTACTTATGCCTCTGAGCTAAATCCCCAGCCCCTTGCCTATCCATTTTTTAGAAAAGTATATTTAATCATTTTAGTAGATATAAACTATATTTTATCATTTACAGTTATATAATAGCACTTCTAATATGTAATAAATACTTTAAGTTTGATCCATAGCAATTTAATATTTTACCTGATCTCAGAGTCAGTTACTGTTCTTAATCTTTATTAATGCTGTACTGTTACCTTTTTCCTATCACATTTCTAAGTATGTTGACCAAGTTAATCCAGTTTTTCCAAGAATGTGCATGGCGTATTTGAGGGCAGGATCAAGCGTCAGATACACAGAGAGACGGTTTTATGCTAAATAAGTGTGATTTAACGAATGGACAGATGCTTGTACAGCCTATAATACAGCATAAGCATTAACATCCTAGAATTTGGATGGTTCAAATGAAAATATCATCATTGTATTTTTGTTAATTCTAATTTACTTTGCTGCAGGAGTGGAGTCAACATATCAATGGAGCAAGTCACAGTCGTCGATGCCAGCTTCTTCTTGAAATGTAGGAGTTTGAAATACCTTTAAAGCATCCTTATCGTGAATCAGAAACAGACATTATTGGTTTTGGAAGTTCATTTTTTAATTGTACTGTCAAAAGTGTTATTCTCACATAGTTAATACTGTCTGGGCGATATTACAAATAACATTTCTAGGTCTATAATCTTACATTGAGTATTAGATACTCTGTTACATGATTTGGGATAAAATACATATATATTGGCTTTTCTATGCCAATGAAAAGAATTTTAAGACTTAAGTGAAAGACAACCCCTGTAAAAGAGATTCATATGCTTTTTTTTTTTTGATTCATATGCTTTAATAATAGTTAATAAATGCTCTAAAAATACAAACGATATGAGGGGTTAATAGTTATATTATTAAGCAAAATTGTGACGCAGTTGTTATTTTTGCCATACACTGATTCTGAGGTTAGGCTGCTACAGTGAAGTGGGGTTCATAAATCACCTCGGGCAGCCTAGTGATGGCGCACATGGATAAACTCAGGCACTCTGAAGACTTAAGGCAGGAGGATTGCCATGAGTTTGAAGTCATGCTGAATTTGAATCTAGCCTGAACTACATAGCTAGACTGGAGTTTAAGTATCTATATACCTAGCTCTGTTTAGGGAAGTGCCACAACTTAATTGTGCTCTTGATATTTACTATTGGGAAGAAAAACTTGTGATCTATTCTTGTTTCCTTATGTAATCCACATAAAGGATTTATGCAATACTTTTTCACCTTCTAATTTAACAACTGTAGGGAAAATTTTAACTTTCAGCCTGTATCACCTGCATTTGCAAGCAATGCATGGCAAGTTTATACGCATTCATTTGTACTATTATGAAGTTTTGAAATTCTTCCTTTGAGATACCTATATTAACATGATTAAAACTATGACTTTTTGACACTTAGACTCTCAAATAAGTTCACTAATAAATGATCTCTACGTTAGAGGCCAAACAAGGCTACTTTGTGACAAGGACAGTTTTATTTTAAAGTTGATTTTCTGATCTTTTTAAAGCTATCCAGAATGGAATCCTGACAATGATACAGGACACACAATGTAAGTTAAAATTTTTTAAGCTCTTGTTTGTAAAGGAGATCAATGTAAGGAATCTTGTTTTTAACTTCCAGTATTTCATGAAAATATTTTTACATTTTCTGTATAGAGGTTGCTGTAGTTTGAGTCTTTCAGTTTTTATTAGATTTTCTGTTATTTCATTTCTAAATGCTCTCAAAAATTGATCAGAGAATACAAGGGATGCTTTAACAAAAAATCATAACATTTGGGGGCTGGAGGTTTAGCTCAGCGGCATAAGCGCCTGCCTTGGAAGCAGGCAGTCATGAGTTCGATCCCCGGTACCAATAAAAAGGAAAAAGACAAAAAAAAAAAAATCATAACATTTATTGGCCCTCTATTATGTTTCATATTTTATTTCTTCACATTATTAGGGGTGACCCATTCATGTTGCAGCAGTCTACAAACCCAGCACCAGGAATTTTGGGACCGCCCCCTCCATCATTTCATCTTGGTGGACCAGCAGTTGGACCAAGAGGAAATCTGGGTGATTATGTGAAATTTATATTACCTTTCTCTGATACCTTCTATAAAAATTGAATGTAGGCATAAAAATTGATTGTAGGCATAAGAAGGCTCAATGAAATGTTACTTTAAGATAACAGTATAGAAACAAGACCATGTTTATAATGTCTTTTTATTTCCTCCACCTTTGGTTTTTTGTGTTGTATGGTGCTAGATTCATATTCAAGACCTCCAGCACATGAGGCAGCTGCTGTAGCACTAAGTTGTACATCAGAACTGGTATTTGTTTTTGAAAGAAGTACATTTTTCAGTTAAAAGTTCATTTATTTTAAATGCTTTTTCCCCCAAAAGGTGCTGGAAATGGAAACCTGCAAGGACCAAGACACATGCAGAAAGGCAGAGTGGTCAGTAGTATAGCTATTGCTTTTATTGTGTTTATCATTATATAAATATGATTTAACTTTATGTACTAATTGAATACGTATCAATCCTTATGAGATGAACAGTGTTACAAGTTGAATATCACTAGGTTTTTATATTACTGATAATAGTTAAAACTTTAATTTTTATATGCCAGTAACAGAGATCTCACCATGATTCAGCATAATAGAATTTCTGATTCCTAGTTATGTGCACAATGCTTGATTTAAAAAATTAGTACACAGGCTATTTTGCAAAACTTCTTAATAATACAACCATTTGGGTTTTTCCCAAAAGAATTGATTCAGTGACATTTCATTTGCTGTGTGTGTTAAATTGTCTAGTACATTACCAGTTGTTACTTTAAGTAATCTTTTCTGATTATACACTATTAAAAATTCTAGTATATGATATCTTTAATGTTAATTTAGTTTTTTTGATTTTGGTGTCAGGGATCAAACTCATGACCCCATGCTTGCCAGGCAGCAGTTAACGTTGCTGAACCCCTGGCCTATTTAGTTTTTTAAGTGTTTAGGGCTTTATGTCCAGTAAGCATACATTGTATACCCTCTGCCCATTCATGTCACTTTTAAGAGATTTTCATTCATTTGATTTTTTTTCTCCTACAATGGATAGGAAACTAGCCGAGTTGTTCACATCATGGATTTTCAACGAGGGAAAAACTTGAGATACCAACTGTTACAGCTGGTGGAACCATTTGGAGTTATTTCAAATCATCTGATTCTAAATAAAATCAATGAGGTATGAGTTGAAATAGGCATATGATGCATATCTCTAGGTGTATTTTCCAAAGAAATTAAATGGTTTTGGATTAGAAAAGGAGCTCTGTAATCTTCACTAATCTGGATTGTAAGAAAAAAGCCACTAGTTAAACTTAAGTCAGTGTCTAGCACTAGTAGATTATTGGTAACTTCATAAACTATGATTCTGCAATAGTAATTGTTACTACTATAGTGCTAAAGGGATTGTAGGAGGAAAATTCTTTGGAAAGCCATTTCGAATTTAAAACCAAAATTAATAGCAAATTGCTTTTTCAGCCCATTACATAATAGCCTGGATATAATGTAAAAATAACTTTTTCTCAATACTAAGGATTGAACCCATAGCATACTCCTAGCCATTTTTAATATACAGACCATCTCGCTAAAATGCCCAGTTGAGTTAGAATTTGTAATTCTCTTAATCCCAGCTGCTTCTGTATCTTAAATTAGAAGCATGTATCATTTGTTTCCTTGTTTTGGAGACACAGTCTTGCTGTATAGCCCAGGCTGGCCTCAACCTCATGGCAATCCTGCCTCAGCCTCCATAGTGCTAGGATTATAGGCACGCGACATCATGCCCAGGAACCTTTTAATTTTAGTAAGATACCATATTGAGAGTTCTGAAAATGCTTCTGATTTAATAATTAAATATAAGAATGAGAACAATGTTGTGTTTCTGCGTTTTTTTTTTTTTTTTTTAACAAATAATTGTTCTATACAATTTCAGGCATTTATTGAAATGGCAACTACAGAAGATGCTCAAGCTGCAGTGGATTATTATACAACTACACCAGCATTAGTATTTGGCAAGCCAGTGAGAGTTCATTTATCCCAGAAATATAAAAGAATAAAGGTAGTAAATCTTTTCCTGAGTTACGTAGAATCTTTCAATTTATTACATCATTTAGTTGTTTACTCACTTTGTCAATGTAAACGGGTTGATACAAACTGGGATTTTTAAACTATTGATTAATGATTGTAGTATACCTTAACAATGTTTGACTTTTTCTTCCTTCTTCATTATAAAGAAACCTGAAGGAAAGCCAGATCAGAAATTTGATCAAAAACAAGAACTTGGACGTGTGATACATCTCAGTAATTTACCCCATTCTGGCTACTCTGATAGTGCTGTCCTCAAGCTTGCTGAACCTTATGGAAAAATAAAGAATTATATATTGATGAGGATGAAAAGTCAGGTAACATATACACAGAGAAGCATTTTTCTTTGACTGTACTAGGGATTCAACTCAAGCCCTCATAGATGATAGGCAAGTGCTCTGTCACTGAGGTATATCCCCAACTGAAAATGTTGAAAAAAATCTTGTTTCTCAAAATGCTTAAAATATTTGTCTGGGAGTAGAACTTAGTGGTGAAGTATGTGTTTAGCGTATGTGAGGTCGTGGCACTGAAAGTGTGTGTATTCCAGCACCTAGTAGGCTGAGGTACAAAGATCACTATAAGTTGTAAGTTCAAGGACCGTCTGGACTACATAGATGTATTTTTTAAAAAATGTATGTGTGTGTGTGTGTGTTACCAGTCTACCTTCATTGTTGATAAAGAATTTGTATAACTTACAGGTTTATTTTCTTAACCATATAATGATGAACAGTGGGGTTTTTTTCTTTTTAAGACATAGTAGAGAGTCATGGTGAAGCATTGAATAAATTCTAGAAATACAAAATAAAAAGATCTTCATCAGGAGTGGTAGCCTACACATTGATCCTCGAATTTGGTAGGCTGACAGCCAGGGGGACTCATTGCAAATTTAAGTCCTGTATCAGAAAAAGGATCCTGGTTGGTAACATTGTTTCTAGTATTTGCTTCCAGAGAGTCCTATATAAATATAGATATCCCCCTCTTTTTGTCTTTTTGAGACAGGGTCTCATCATGCAGTTCAGGCTAGCCATGTGCTCACTTCATAACCCAGGCTGGTCTCAAAACTGGCAGTGATCCTCCAGCCTCAGCCTTCCAAGTGCTGGGATTACAGGCGTGCACTACCACGCCCAGCTTCTTCTCTTTTTCTCATCAACTGGTATTGTACATGTTTCACTGAGTTAACAAGTACATGAATTGGATGGATGAAAGTTGAAATTTTGAATCCTCATAGGCACCCATTTAAACCACAAGAATATTTTATGAACATTGGATACTGCAGACTTGTCAAATTCTATTTAATGACTAAAATAGGTTGTCTTACATTTTTCATTCTTTAAAATTTCAGAGGATTGGGGCTGGGGATTTAGCTCAGCGGCATAAGCGCCTGCCTTGCAAGCAGGCAGTCGTGAGTTCAATCCCTGGTACCGATAAAAACGAAAAAGACAAAAAAAAAAACTTCAGAGGACTATTGGATATAGTTCAGTAATAAGACCTGGTTCATTCCCCAGCAAGCAAAATCAATGAGGAGAGCACATGTACAATATATGTGTCATCATCTCCATATGCACTAGAAATTAAAATCTAGGACTGCAAGCATGCTAGGAAAGCACTGTGTCACTGAGCTATGTTATATAGCCCTTGCCTTTTTACTTTTTATTGTAAGATAAGATCTCACTAAGTAGACCAGGCTGACCTTGAACTTGGGACTTCTTTCTACTTCAGCCTCCTGAGTAACAGGGATTACAATCATGTACCATCACACCTGGCTTTTAATTTTTGTTGGGTATTTTCAGCTCAACGTTGGGAATTTTCATTTCCCATAGGTTTTTTTGTGGTGATGGTGGTATTTTTGTTGGTTTTGTTTTGTTTTTTTTGTTTTTTGGTCTTTTTGAAACACGATCTCACTTTGCAGTTCAGAATGGTCTTGAACTCTGTAGCCTAGGCTAGCCATGAATTTGTAGCAGTCCTCCTTCCTCAACCTCACAAGTGCTGGGCTCATAGTTTTGATTATTATAATCTTTTGCAAAAAGACTGTATACTGATCGCTAAATATTTGAGCCTACAAAGATTATTGGAGAGTTGTCAGGTTGTCCCTTTTTACATTTGGAATCGTGTTGCTGTGCTAAAGATTATAGTCTCCTAATCAGTAGTAGAATAAATGATAAAATTCTATACAGTTTTATGAAAATTAATATCCTTTATGGGTTGTTTATTTTAGGCTTTCATTGAGATGGAGACCAGAGAAGATGCAATGGCAATGGTTGACCATTGTCTGAAAAAAGCCCTGTGGTTTCAAGGGAGATGTGTTAAGGTTGACCTGTCTGAGAAATACAAAAAACTGGTACTGAGGGTATGTAGTGCTGGAATTGTATTCATTAGCTCAAATGACATTCTGCTATGGTGACTGTGCTGTGATACCTAAATCCTGTGTAAGATTTGGTCATTGAAAGAAAATATCTCCAATTTTTCTTGTCTTCTCTATTACTGAAAGTTTTAAAATTAGTGTTTAACACCTTTATTGCTTTTACCTATTTAAATTTTTGTTTGAACAGTCTTGTTACAAAAACATGTATTATCTGTTCCTGTTGATTTAATGATTATGATGAGTTGATTTTAAGCAGTTTAGGGTTTGGACATGATTATAAGAATTACAGCTGGGCTTGGTGGCAACATGCCTGTAATCCCAGCACTTGAGAAGTTGAGGGAGATGATCACCATGAGTTCAAGGCCAGTGTGGGCTATGTAGTGAGTTCAAAATGTGCTGAGTTGGCTTTTATAAGGATGATCAGGGCCCGGGGATTTAGCTCAGTGCTATAAGTGCCTGCCTGCCTGCCTGCCTGGCAAGCACAAGGTCGTGAGTTCAATCCCCGGTACCCAAAAAGAGTATACAGATAATTATAAATTATTTAATTGGATGATTGTGTGATCTGCATGAGTATATTTTAAAACATTTAAATGTCACGAAACTTTTGTTTTTTAGATTCCCAACAGAGGAATTGACTTATTGAAGAAAGATAAGTCTCGGTAATTTCATTTTGCTTATGATTGTATACATATAGTATATTTTTATGTTTCCAATCCAGAAACACTGTTTCTTTTGTGTGTGTTGTGTGTGTGTGTTTTTATTTCAGAAAAAGATCTTATTCTCCAGATGGCAAAGAATCTCCAAGTGATAAGAAGTCCAAAACAGATGGTTCTCAGAAGACTGAAAGTACAGCCGAAGGTAAAGAACAAGAAGAGAAGTCAGGTGAAGATGCTGAGAAAGATACAAAGGATGACCAAACAGAACAGGAGCCTAATATGCTTCTTGAATCTGAAGATGAACTACTTGTAGATGAAGAAGAAGCAGCAGCTCTTCTAGAAAGTGGCAGTTCAGTGGGAGATGATACTGATCTTGCTAATTTAGGTGATGTGGCTTCTGATGGGAAAAAGGAGACTTCAGATAAAGCTATAAAAAAAGATGCAAGTGCTTCAGCAGCAGCAAAGAAAAAACTTAAAAAGGTAAAAAAGATTTTATATTGCCTTGTTTTAATAGCATAGTAGATCAGTTTTCCAGATTACTCCAGGATCAGATAGTTATATTATTTGTATCAGAAAAATCAGATTGATTCAGAATATAAATCCCAACTCTGCAATAAATTGAGTAAATAGGACATTTCATTATAAGTGGAAACAAAGTCAATTTGCAAAGAACACTTTAGAGTCAAGGTGAAAGACAAAATCTTATATGCCTCTGTATTGTGGTAATATATTAATACTGCTTTATAGTACAGCATGTTTTTTAAAAAGTGAGTTAGAGGTTTCCGATAAGTTGACTAACAGAAGACACTTAAAACAAAATTGGTTTTAAGCTAGGCATGTTGGCACACCTTTATAGCCTAGGCTAGTCTTGGACTTGCAACGATCCTCCTGCCTCAGCCTCCTGAGTGCTGGGATTACAGGTGTAAGCCATCATACCTGGCTCTGAATTATGTTTTTTAAGATGTCAGCAGATAGGTGTGTGGTCACACATGCCTGTAATCCCAACACTCAGGAGGCCAACGCCTGAGGATTGGGTGCAAGATCAGGGCCAGCCTGGGCTACATAGTGAATTCAAGGCCAGTCTGAACTACAATGAGACCCTGTCTCAAAGCACCCCCCAAAAAAAAGAGCCATTATTTTGGTAAAGAAAGGAAAAAGTCGGTGTTTTGAGAGAATAAAAACAAAGACGTTATCCCATCCCTTTCAAGTAAAACAAATGGAAGGGACGCTGCAGGATAATTGTTGCAGAGTAAATTTATCTTTCTTAACAACGTCGTTTCCCAGGGAGTATGGAAGGTTTTGTCACTCTAGATGAGGTTGGTGATGAGGAAGATTCAGAGCTTCAGAAACTTCGTAAATTGGGCATGGCATTTAAATCTGGTGACAAAAATGATGATGGTTTGATTGAAATTAAGGTGGACAAGATCGAGGAACTTGATCAAGACAACGAAGCAGCGTTGGAAAATGGAATTAAAAATGAAGAAAATACAGAACCAGGTGCTGAATCTGCCGAGAATGCTGATGATCCCAACAAAGATACAAGTGAAAATGCAGATGGCCAAAGTGATGAAAACAAGGACGACTTTACCATCCCAGATGAGTATAGAATTGGACCATACCAGCCCAATGTTCCTGTTGGTGAGCTTTTATTTAAGCCTTTGTTCTTCCCCTTTCTTACCTACCCCTACTCCTACAAATTTACTGAAATAAGATTTAAAATATGATCTTATGTAAGTTCTGATAGTATGTTACCCTTTTTGTGGGGAAACATTCATAAACCTTAACAGATTTATACTGGTCTTTTTTGCCTCTTACACAAGTCTCCTGATTTTCTATTATGTTGTTCTTTCCTCATAAAAGTATCTACAAATTATACATTGCTTTTTGTTTCATGTTTCAGTGTTAATTTCTGTTATTTTAAAAGTACAGTTAGGTGAGACCTTGAATATCAGACAAAGTCAGCTGGCAACTGGTAATGTCATGGTTTTGATTTTGTTTTGTTTCCACCATAAGCCATATTAGATTCTTTGTCACAAATATGTGGTCTACTTCAGATTATATTGATAGGAAAAAAGATTAGAGACTACTAAAGAATATCTTCAGTTTACTTAATTTGTAAGAACATATGTTTGTGTTTCTAGGTATAGACTATGTGATACCTAAAACAGGGTTTTACTGTAAGCTGTGTTCACTCTTTTATACAAATGAAGAAGTTGCAAAGAATACTCATTGCAGCAGCCTTCCTCATTATCAGAAATTAAAGGTAAGGCTGAATAAAAAGAGGAGAATTCTTCTGTAAAAACTAACAAATCATTTATGCTATGGAAATAAATGCATTTCTGGATCCAGCAGTGTTTTATCCTGAGGGGAATAGCTTTCTTTTTTACTTGAAAGGTTTGAAAGGGTTTAAGCAATTTAATGGATTTGAGAAGATTCTGTTCAACCTCTTTCCATAGTTATTCTGGTTGATGTTAACTTAGTAATTTCTAAACTTACAAAGGTTACAGGATAGCTAAAATCACACAGATATCTCAGATCAGTGATGGGCTATAACTTCTCTTTATTTGGAAAGTCTTGGAAACCTGAATGTTAAGTGGAATAGTATGAAGCCTTTTAAATTTTGTAAAGTGCTGTGTCCCTACTTAATGATTTTTCATCATCATTATTGAGTTTAATATACTTCAGATAAAAGTGTAACAGAAGAAATAACCAGTTCCTATTTTTAAGTAAAAGACCTTTAAAGTCTTATCTATTGAAATAGGTAATAGGAGAAAGCAAGTAAAGAATTTACGATTAAAGATAATTTAGGCTGAGTATGGTGGTGCCCACCTATAATCTCAGTAACTCAGGAGGTTGAGGCAAGAGGATCATCACAAGGCCAGCCTGGCCTACTTAAGCAATTTCAGGACCAGCCTGTACTACATTAGCAAGATCCTGTCTCCAAGAAAAGCAATAAAGATAGCTTTCACACCATTTTATATTATGAAGTTACTACATGTTAAGTATCCCTAATATCTGAAACTTACAGTGACATGATGTCACAAATAAGAGATTCGACCTAGCCCTGACAGGCATTGGTCAAAATGCTAGAACACTAAAAACGTTGTATAAAATTACTGTCAGGAGCTAGAGTTAGGGTCAGTGTCTGATCACTTGCCTACTGTGTATAAGGCCCTAGATTTCATCTTTCAGAACTGTGAAAAATAATTTTCATTTAGACTATGTGAATATAAGGTATGTATGAAGTAAGTGAACTTTGTGTGTAGGCTTCAGTTTTGTTCATTGCAAGGTATTTTGGGTATGTATTTGTTAGATACTCTAAAATCTAAAATCCAAAACTTTTTTTTATTTTTTTGTGCCAGGGAACAAGCTCACAACCTTGTACCCAAAACACTTTAGTCTTTCAGATAAGGGATACTCTTTCAGATAAGGGATACTCAACCTGTTCAAATTGTCATCAGACAAATTTTCTGTGTTAGATATGAATAAAGGTAGCCATGAATTTTGGAATAATCTCAGTTTTTGGCTATTTTGCTTTAAATACAACTTTTTGGGGTATATGTCTTTACCAGTGTGGGTGTGAAAAAAGAATGACAGTTACTATCATAGCAGTTTAGGTTAAGAGTATGTATTTGATAAGAATTTGTCCCAGGGTCTCAAGCATATCAATCATACATTCTACCACTGGTTTATACCCCTGACATCTAGTGTATTAAGAGGTTGGGAGTCAGAAACTGTGTATAGCCTAGCAGAGTATGGAAATAATTTAAGTCTCTAAATGCTTTCATACTGTAGAAACAGTATTACACTTTATAGTTAGATATTTGGTCTATTGCAGGTAGCTTTCTGGTGATACTGGGAGTTGAATGTAGGTACATCCAAGGCTTTTGTTGTTTCCCTTGTGATACAGGATCTCATCAGTTTGCCACATTGGGTTTGACTTTGTGATCTCCTTGTTTTGGCCTCTCAGTGTAGTGGGATTACAGGAATGTGACTACACCTGACTTTTTTTTTTTTTTTTTTTTTTGTACCGGGGATTGAACTCACAATTGCACACTTGCAAGGCAGGCACTTATGCCGGTCAGCTCAGCCCTACACCTGACGTTAAAAAAAATTTTTTTTCTTGTTTCTTTTCCCTTTTTTTGGAGATAGGATCTGGGTGTGTAGTTCAGACCAGTTTTTTTGTCTTCTACTTTTGTAAAGTTTCACATATTTTGTTATAATATACCATGATTATTGTTTTGCAAATTGCCTGTGGCTACTTTAGTACAGGAAAAATATAGGTAAGACTCTTAGTGCCCCACAAACCTAAAATATTTATTACGGGTCCTTTAAAAACATATTTGACTATGTTGGAGTACACTAGTTCTGTTTTTTTTTTTTTTTTGTCTTTTTCGTTTTTATTGGTACCAGGGATCGAACTCACGACTGCCTGCTTGCAAGGCAGGCCCTTATGCCGCTGAGCTAAATCCCCAGCCCCACTAGTTCTGTTTAACTGTGTTCCTTGTTTTCTCATCTGTACAAGTTATGGTTAATAGCACATTGAAATACTCATTTTTCACATTAAACTTTATTTTTTCCATGCCTTATTGTGATGTCTTCTGAGTCAGTTTAGTCTCGTACAATAAGAATTGATTAATTTATCTGGGCATGGTGGTACAGGTCTATAATCCCAGCATGTGAGAAGGTGAGATGGGAGGCTGAGGCAGAATCACTGTGAGTTGAAGGTCAACCTGAACTACATAGTGAAAGCTTGTCTCAAAAATAAATTTTAATTCTTCAAATATTGATAAAGTCATAGTTTGGGTTGGACAAACTTGAATAAAATATTTTTTAGTTGATGTATGTTTCTCTTAGGTAACTTAATCTCTGTACTATTTTTTTTCTTTTCTCAGAAATTTCTGAATAAATTGGCAGAAGAACGCAGGCAGAAGAAGGAAGGTTAAGCTGTACGAGAAGTTTGATTTCAAAGAAAACAATGGTTCTTTGTTTTTAATGTTAACCTTTTTTAAATACAAAACTGATAGTTAGAAAAAAACTATTGTACTCTTTTGTTTTAGTGGAAAAATAATAGATGTCTGTTCATGTGTTAAGTGTTAATAGCAAAAAATACACATAAGTTAATGATGAATAGTTTCGTTTCATCAGAACAGCAACAGACAAAAGTACTTTGTAGAGACTGACGTAAGCTCAAACAACTTGCACCACTAAGAAAAAGATAACATAGAACCATTCAGACAAATGAAATTTAGTAGTTCAAGCTTCAAAGAAATGTCAACAATTTTTGATTCCATTCAATAAAGAACAAAACTGACTGTATTTTTATTACTTTCACCTGAAACATTCCACATTTTAATCTGAGCCTTGCAGACTTTTCGTTTGGAGTTTGAAACTGGGTTGCATTTCATTTTTAGGGAACTTTATGTGAGATTAGCAGTTCCAATGCAGGTGCAATTTTCTTTGAATGTCATGCTGTTTAGGTATATTAGGTATATTTCTTTGAATGTCATGCTGTTTAGGAAATATTAAGTAATTGGTTTTAGATTTTGTAATTTTTCCCCTGAGTTCCTGCTAGGTTTCGTATTCTAGTAGTCAATGTATTTTCAGTGAAATGTAAAAATATTCCCGTTCTCTTTGACCAGTATTAACTTCTGAGGATCTTATTGCTTGTCACTTGAATCCTATAGCTGTCATACATCTTTGGTATAAGCAACATTGATTTTTGAAGTGTGTAGACCATCTTCATATTTTTCAATATGTAATTTTACACTTTTGCATTTTAAAAAGTTTGGCCATAATTCTTGACGCACGCTTCTAATTCATGTACCTGCACATGTGACCTTTGTGAACAGAAACTTGCATGTATAATCTGTGTTTACTTGTAACTCTCTGGTCATATACTGCTTATATCTGTGGATTCAAGTTACTGAAGTGAATACCAATAAAAAGAAAACCTAGGCCATGTTCTTTGGTTATACGTTTGGAATGTTAACCATTATATTTGTGAGTTGTGGTTTTTATTCACTGTTAAACTTTTGTGCATGCTTTACCACATTACTTTTTAGTCTAGAGTGTCTACTGCTACTAAAGATCCAAATTTTAAGCTTTATGGTGCTGGCAGATTTCTTGTTTGTGTTAAATAATTTAAAATGTGATTATGCATGGTTTGTAAAACCCTGTGAGTTTAAAATGCTAAACATTAAGTAATCGCAAAAACTTATGTTAAGACAGTAAGTAATCGCAAAAACTTATGTTAAGACAGTGTCCATAGCTTTAACTATAAAACTGGAAATAACAGTAGCACGAATTAGTTGTGCCAGCCTTTCAAAGTAACTACAGATTCTTTTGTGTTTAGTTACCACCTGTCAAACAAATTAATTTTAAATACAAAAAGAACTGTCATTCAGAGTTTGAAGACCAGATTATTAAAGGAAATTTCAAATTGTTGGGTAAAATCTTAAGATCTCCTCCATGAAGGGGAGTTACCTAAGGCAATGTATGTAATATGTACAAAAAATTCTTGCCATTTAAGTTTTAGACTTTACTAATTACCAACCTTGATTTAATTGAGTTTATTAACTAATAGCCACTGCCAAAAAAATATTACACATATAGTAGAACCCTTGTTTCCTGTTGATGGTAGCTTATTTTATAGATTCTGCTTAGTTTTGTGGGTGTTTTTTTAAGAAGGAATTGAACTCAGGACCTTGGATTTACCAGACAGGCACTGTGCCATTGAGATAAATCCTTAGCCCTCATAGATCCTACTTCGTTGAATTTAGCAAGTTGAAAAATGGTTTGATGAGTTTATCTTTAGTGTCGTTTAGAAGTGAGAAATTTTTATATATACGCTTGTAGTATATATATACGCTTGTAGTGACGGCATGTTTCCCCAGATTGTGACAAAACTAATAGGGATATTTTCCACTTAAACATACTGTAAAATTTTATACTTTATCTCTTGCCATAACTTCATCCTCAGTCATGATACATAAATGTGAAGGAATACTTTCTTCGGTTAATCCCTACCCTACTCTCTTAGTTGTTGCTGATAGTGTTGTTTTTGTTTTGTTTGTGCGTGTGTTTTTGAGACAAGGTCTCACAGTGCAGTACAGATTGCCCTTGAACTCACTTTGTAACCTAGGCTGGTCTTGAATTTGCAAGATCCTCCTGTCTCAGCCTTCTGAGTACTGGGGTTACAGGTTTATGTCACAGTGACCAGCTGGTTTTTGTTTTTGTTTTTGTTTTGTTTTTTTGAATGGGGAAATTGAACTTCTGACCACATACTTGCCAGGCAGGCCCTTGTACCACTGAGCTAAATCCCCACCCCACTGATAGTGTTTTTTAAGAGATTTGAGTAGCTGTAGTAGTATTGAGTGTCATAAGAATTTTACATTGCTGGGCACAATGATGTGTGCCTTGTGTGTTACTCAAGGTTAAAGCAAGAGGGTAAGTTGGAGGCCATTCTGGGCAACACAGAGCCCATCTCAGGAAAAAACACTTTTTTTGTTTAAGGAAAATGAGCTATCTGACCACATCTCTAGGAAGTTTTTACCCCTTCATACTGAACTACATCCCTAATTTTGTTGCCTAGGCTAGGCTGAAACACAGGATCCTTCTGCCTCAGCTTCTTAGAGTGCTGGGATTAGTATATTACCATGCTTGCTCCAGACATTTTACATGGTGAGATTCTAAGAATTTTTAAAGATTCTATCTGAATTCCCTAAGTTCCTGGGGATTTTTGTTTATTTTTTGGTTTTTTTTGAGACAGAGTCCAGGCATGTAGTCCAGGCTTGCCTTGGATTCACTGTGAAGCTCAGGCTGGTCTCTTATCTAGTGAGAGTCCTGCCTCAGTTTCTCAATGCTAGTATTACAGGTGTGCCCCACCTTGCCTAGCATCTTCTTTTTTTTTTTTTTTTGTCTTTTTCCTTTTTACCGATACCGAGGATCGAACTCACGACTGCCTGCTTGCAAGGCAGGCACTTATGCCGCTGAGCTAAATCCCCAGCCCCCTTGCCTAGCATCTTCTATATTTAAAGGATATGGCAGGGCTGTAAGGTTGTGAAAGGAGAAGGAAGATGGCAGGATCTTGTCATTGTTCACTCCAAATTTTTTTTTGGAATGGGTCCTTCGCATTTCCCAGAGTGGCTTTGAACTTGAAATTCCCCCAGCCTAGTGAGTGCTGAGATTACAGACATGTACTGGTATACTTAGTGTGTATCAACTTTTTAGGATAATTTGCACTTAAATAGAAGCAGTTCTTTGGCTGTACCTCTTTGTTGGGTTTTCTTAACAGTTCGTGGAGGGGCTGGGGATTTAGCTCAGTTGGTATAAGCGCCTGCTTGGCAAGTGCAAGGTCCTGAGTTCAATCCCTGGTACCACAAAAAAAAAAAAAAAAAATCCCAGTACTTAACAGTTCATGGCTTTGGGCTGGGGATTTAGCTCAGCAGCACAAATGCCTGCTTAGCAGGTGCAAGGTCAAGAATTTGATTCCTGGTCTCTCCCCCTCCCAAGCTTGAACATTCAGTGGTTTTGAGTTTGAAATAGTATTCCTTGGCAAGAGCTCTGAGCCTGTTTTAAGCCAACAGTAAAAAGGACTCTTGATACCAGTTCTATAACTCAAGTAAGGCCAAGATTATTAGACAACACTAGGGCATAAATGGTTATATCTTCCTTTGTAAATTAGTGGTTCTCAAATGTTAATACATATCAAAACTAAGGAGATGAAAACATTGCAGGGCCTTTCTAGTGATGAATTCCAGTAACATTAAATATTTCCCAAGTGTTGGCAATGTGAAAGATAAAGACCACATAGAACTAGTCTACCTATGGCTGGGCTTAGCGGATGTAACAATGCGTGGAATGGTTACTGTTGCAGGAAGTACTAGTTTTCTTTTCTTTCTTTCTTTTTTTTTTTTTTTTTTTTTTTTTTTTTGTTACTTGGTTGGTTTTGGTACTGGGGATTGAACTCCCAACCTGGAGTTTGCCAGGTAGGTACTTGTGCTGCTGAGCTAAATCCCCAGTTCTTTTCCTTTTCCTTTTCTTTTTGTCTTTCTGTTCTGTTCTCTTCTCTCTCTCTGCCTGCCTGCCTGCCTGCCTGCCTGGATTGGCTACTGTTTCAGGAAGCACTCTTTTTTCTTTTCGTTTTTTTTTTTAAAGGTGGTGGTGGTGGTGATGATGAATCAGGGTCTTGATATATAGTTCAGGCTAGTTTTGAGTTCACTAGCCTGGGCTGGCCTTAAATTCATGGTAAGCCTTGTAAGTGTTGAGGCCACAGTGTACCACCATGTCTGGCTAGCTTTTTCTTACAAAGCTAAAAACTAAAGGAAATACTGGAAAGTAGCCACTTTGGGGTAGATTGAGTACAGTTTTTTTTTTTTTTTTTTTAAATCATGAAAAAGTTTCGGGCACTAGTTCTAGTATTTTCTAGGTAGGTCCAGCTTGGGGGGGGGGTTGGTAGAAATACTTTGTAAACTTTACTACGGAAGTTGATCAGTTAATTCAAAGGTGAGTTGGGCACAGAATGAGGTTTCAAGAATTGGAGTTTTTGGAAGGGAGGGGTATCAGGAATTGAACTCTAATGATCTTGTTCCTGCCAGGCAGGAGAAATTAGTTTTAAGTGTGAAATTTTTCTTCATAGAATTGGCTTGAAATACTGAAAGGCAATTTTAGATCTTGGGAACTACCAAGTCTATGTGGACTTAATAGTTAAGGGAGGGGGTGTGTGCATTACTATGAAGGCACCTCAGACTTGAGAATGTAGCTGTATGTAGCCTAGCGTGTGCAAAACCCTGAGGTGCAGCCCCAGCATTAAAAAAACAAAACTTTTTGCCTTCACTTTGTAATTTGTAGCATCATGAGAGCCTGTGAAACAGGTTTGAATAATTCATGGTTTCTTCACATTCTCCAAGTGTAGGGGACCCATCTTTAAGCAGCAAGCTGCACAGAGCCAACAGAGAAGGGCTTGGCCCAGGCAAGAGAATTGTTTATGCAGCATGTCTGTATGCTCATGTATCACTGTTCGGCAAAAATTAAACTTTATTCCCCATACGTACCTTAATTTCTAAATATTGTTTATCCTGTATATTCATTCATATATGGATTTGATGTTTTAAAGTCACATTAGTTTTAAAATTCACTAAAACCTAAGGAAAAACCTGGAAACAGGTTGTGAGTTGTCCAGATTGGACTTCAATCTCCTACCTCATCCTCCCAGAGTGGTTGGGTTACAGACGAGCCACTGCCCAGGTACTGCCTGTGTATCTTCAGTACCTTTCACTGTGGTGGCACAGTGAGCATTCTAAAGTGAACAGTCGGATCATGTTGCACACCTGTGATCCTAGCACTTGGGAGGCTAACACTGGAGGATCACAACTTTGAGGTCAACCGGGGCTACAAACTTTAAGACCTGACCAAAAAATAATCCCATGATATTTTCATGAGGACTCTGGGTCAGAAGGTAATCCTTTTGTAGCATTAAGAAAAAGGACTAGAACCAGACATATTGGTGCACTTCTGTAATCGCAGCATTTGGGAGGCGGAGGCAAGTAGGTAATTTCAAGTTTGAGACCATCCTGGACTACAAAGTGAGCCCAAGGCCACTTAGACCCTGTCTCAAAAAGACAAAAGCATTACTACACAGTGATGGTATAATCATTGCCACCTGGGACTAGTGTGTGTACATGTACGTATGTATTAGGGATTTGAGCCCAAAGCCTTTGTAATAAGTCTTAGGTCCAGAGTTCTTTTGTGTGAAAACAACAGGTCTTTTGAGTGGTTCACACGGAAAATCCAGATTTAGTACATATTTTTCAAGATTACCATTAAGTAACAAGTATGGTCATCTCATGAGTATTTGAGCTGATGTGGACACCTGTAAGCCCAGCATTCAGGTGCTGAGACAGGAATGCTGCAAATTGAGGCCAATCTGATCTATATCGAGAGACCCTGTCTCAAAAAAAAAATTACCTGAGCTCTGCGTGTGATGTTCATTCTGTT